TTGATTAAGCAACATAGGTCGTGTTATTTACCATGTCCTTGATTGGACATTCAGGTGTAGTGAGCTCTAACCAGAACGAAACCTGAGAATCAAAGCCAAGACATTGTAGGGTAAGGGTGTCATTCTTTACAGATGTACAAAGACTAAAATCCCATATTGATTCTTTAGTAACCTCTCCAACAGCTTCATCTATCAGGAGGTCCTTAACAAGACCACATGAAAAGTCGTGATCAATAATTTGAGACAACGCTTTAAGCACATCACTTTCCGCCGTCTGTGCCAAAACTGCAGGAGTGCTCTCTACTACTACAAGAGCAGATTAGGTACACAGAATGACGTGAAGCTTACGAGATGAACAACTATTGTAATAAAAAGAGAAACAATCAGAGGAGAACTACCGGTGACAACTTAGCAACAAACTAACCAATAATTTTTGGCGGCACATCCAGGATAGGAAATTATATTTGGCTCTTCATCCATTACGATTTTTAGCTCTAATATCCTTCTGCATCTCACTCAGGGCCATTCAAATTCAGTGTTGACAAGGGGTAGCCAAGAGTTGTTGGTTTGGGTGGGCTTCTCAATAATACAACTCATGCACGCAAGCGCGCGCACAAACACAAGGTTGGTCAAATTTTTTCTGGTCAAGTATAGTTTCTTCGCAATTCCAAGAACACAGTGTGACAGAGCAAGTCCATTTTATTTGGCCTGCCAGATAAACCTCCTAAATTTTCTTCATGGCAGAACATGTAGTTCATCTTCGCAGGGAGTATGATATGTATTAGCTGAAGCAGATTGATATGATGGCACAAGTACCAGATTATTAGCTCCAAACAACAAATTGCAGAGAGATACGAAGAATTGAACATGGACAGCTCTGTAAAAAAAAATTACTATGATGTGTTCGATTGAAAAAAATTCGAGATATTTGGCTTAATAGAAAAACTCTTAACTATATCACTTGCACTCACTCCACAAGAACGTTCTGTCAAATTCTGAACAGTTCATTGTATGTTCTTGAAAATAGTTCTGAGTTACAAGGTTCACGTACCTCAGATAGATAAATATCCAAACATAAAAAAAAGAGTGCCATTTGGGTATTTCCCAAATAAAACAGGCACCTAATAATCAGTCGATTCGAATTATTCATGAAAAGAACAAGGAAAAAGGAAAAAAAAAATGTACCTTCCACGAAAACAGTCCTATACATGAAAGTCCCAGGTGGTGATGAATCAAGCAGTGGCGGTGTCGATTAATTGACCATTGCTTAAATGAGCGCAAATGTTTGTGAGCCTTACGCTTTCTGTTATTAGTAGAAAAAGCCCGAGCCGCATATAAATAAAAGGGTTAATTGTTTTAATTTATGTATACCTTGTTATTGCCGTACTTTATGCATTTATAAAATCATGTAGGTGAATACTAACAGAATTGACCAAAAATGAGGAAATCAACATTAGAGTGTGAAGAGGATTCAATTGAAAATTAAGTTACATTAATCACGTAATAAAGTCATTCCCACGACTCGTTACAAAGTATCCATATACGACTCCTCACCATCATCATCTCTTAGCTAATCCTCTTAGATTCCTTATGCTCTGTGCAAACTAACAAGACGAATGGTGTATCGAATAGGGGGGCACTAATTCACTAACTTCCATGGCCGACGGTGTGCGATTACGAGAGCCATATGTCCGCACTTGGTGCATTTGGGAGTTCCACCGGACCTTCCAAACGAGATCGTTGAGGAAATCGAGTCAGACTTGATGACCGAGGCAACGTTCGAGTCCAAGTTGACATTGATGCTGCAAATCAGTAGATAGTTGCTCGCACACCTTGCAAGAATGTCGATCTTCCACGAAGATCGCATCACCCCGTTTTGCGATGCCGTAGAATCGCAACATTCATGCAGCAGTCGTTCCATAGGAAAGAGCAGTGCAGTTCCAAGGACTTACAATCTAAAAATTGCCGAAGCACAAAATTCTCTACTAACTGCTTGGAAACGAATATCAGATGGATTAGATATAAGCAGAGTGAGCGACATGTTGCTCTCCAGAGATGTTTCATCATGACCTAAACGAAATCATTTGAAGACCACCATAGATGTCAAAGAGGTCGAGCAAGGATGAGTCGCAAAAATATTCAGAGGCCATACCTTCGAATGATCCTTTCAGCGAATGTGGCCGTTGGATGTTGAATGAAATCCGACCCAAAAATTTATTAAAGGAACGTCCGAAATTGATTATATGAGGATGTCTGCCGTGGAAATATACATATTTCCTGTTCGGCGTTGGAGAAAGAAAAATAGGCTTTCCTATTTTGTCTTGGTATTATATTTGTGTGCAAGAATCGGTGGAAATTGCGACGGAGAAACGAAAAGGGAAGTGGGCGCACTCAATTTCCTTTATTACTGAAGTCGGCCAAGCTCAGTAAAAAGGAAAGTTGACCATGCACTTTCCTCAATTTTTCCTTTTCCTTGTTGGACTCTGCAAGAGGAAATTTGACCATGGACACGACGCATGTATATATATGGGCAGATTTGTTCTTTTGCCGCAAGATTGGCAAGTAGTTGATCGTGAGTTTTGAAGCGCCCTTTCTAAGTGAGTGCTTGACAGTGGGTTCGTGGATTTGTTCGTGGAATTACACCAAGAATTCAAGTGTTAGTAGCGAGTAAATCTTGTAGTAAGATTTGTGTATAATTCATTCATGAGATTGAGAGATTATTTCGTGAGGAATTGTGGGGCTAAACACTGCGTGCGTTGTTGGGTGTAATTGGGGTTTAGGAAACACTTAGAGTGTTTGAGTGACTCGAGTGTGATTGTAATCTCCGTTGTATCGCTTGATCTATAGTGGAATTCCGTGCTGCTCTCCCCGTAGACGTAGGTCACTACGACCGAACCACGTAAATCTGGTGTCCGATTTATTTTCTTATTCTGTCAAATTTATTGTTCGATCGCTTGGCTTCCGCAACATGATGTCGCTAAATCTTCCTGAAAAAAATTTACAGTTTCCCCAACAGTATCACTCAGACATGCCGAGAAGTGATCTTTCCTGATAATAAGGTCATTGAACACGACTACAGGTAACCTGGTCATTTTTTAGAGTGGGAAAGCCGTTCGGACAGGTATTGCAGTAAAACTAATGTACTGCATGACACAGAGCTACCATTCTTTGTCAAAAAATTTCACAGCCATAAGGACCATCTTGATGGTAAAGTAAACACATCATTGAAGTTCCCAACACTTGAAAAGAATTTCGGAACAGATGGACCTTAGTAATTACGGAAGTTCGCTAAACTCGACCTGCTTATGCCTGTTACTCTGTATCAAGTATTGCGAAACACTAATAAGGTGTTTCTGGCTTTTTACATAGGGTCGACTCTTCTGTACATTTATGCCAGTTTGTGCCCCAAGATCATACCACAAGCATTTGCATTTTATGGATTGAATCTTGTTGCTTCTATACTGGAAACAGATTGAGTCTGTTTTCCTCGCTATATCCCTACCATACCACAAGCATTTGCATTTTATGGATTGAACCTTGTTGCTTATACTGGAAACAGATTAAGTCTGTTTTCCTCGCTATATCCCTACCCAATAGAGTTTCAAAGGAACTATCAGCTGGCGGCAAACTGAGTAGCTTTAAGCCGAGTGCATAAGATTTCAAATAAAATTGCGGACAATCTGCTGTATACATTAAAAGACGAAATTCCAAATAAATGAATTGAAGGAAGAGATAATGAAGAAAAAGCGCATAAGAGTCCTTGCAGCGCAATGTCGCTTTCCTAAACTAGGGCCATTGATCAATATTGTCGAGCAGAATTATATGTGCAAGAATAGTACTTCAGATTTCTCAACATCCAAGGCATAGCGGTTTAAACTTTAACAACTAGGAGATTGATGGTAGCAACCAATCTCTCGGTTATTTCAAAATTTATGTTCAGCGTTGGTGTGAAGGGCTAATAGAAGCGGACCTATGTGACTGTATCGAGCAATACTTCTCTATCATTTTAGAATGAATGTGTACGCTGTAAGATTGTATATCAGGTATTCCTGACAGGAAGACAAAACTTTCCAAGCAATATAAGAGTTTGGTGTCAAAAGAGGTGGCAAGCAAAATGAAATTCACAGAGTGTGTATAGGTACACGCAATCAATGTCTGTCCTGTGCTTATTGTTGAAGCACATTCAATCTCTAGATCTGTCAATGCCTAAATTTGATTAAAGCACAATAAACCTAAAACAAAATGGTTATACTTCTAAAACTTGAGCATCCAATAATAAGAAAATTTTTCGAAAAACCTGAAGTGTGGCCTTTTTCAACAAAGATCTCTAGAATAATGCTCGTCTTGAAGAAGCTTGAAGTTGATGATTTCATCTCAATTAACCCCAACTCACTTGTGTCTCAAATCCTCGCATTTACTCGTTCACAGCTACCACGTCCAGTTGCTACCGTCTTGACCCCAATGCCGCATCACAACCTCTGGTCCACGACATCTGGCAGTCATCGAAATCGTCCCCAGTGTGCTTGGCCGAGACGCCCCTGTTTATGGCTCTGCCAAATTGTAACATCCGAGAGCTCATTATTTTTCCTGTCTTTCGAGAGCGTTAGAGCCCGGTGGATCCCTCTTTCGTGCATTAATTGTCTCACCTCGCTCATGCAAGTCCGGCGGATTGCTTGCAAATGTCCGGCAGGCAGGGTTGGACTTGGGCGGAGGAGCGTGGGAAGTAGGCGCCAAAGGAGTAGCCGAATGCCACCGTCCGGGACGAGCTCTTGGCCAAGCTCGGCAACAGTTACCAGTGGATTCGGCGGCGGTGGAGTCCCGGGCTTCGGCAATCTCTGGAGGCCCTCCTAGAATTGCTTATTTCTACAACAATATGCAAGAAATCACCAATCAATAACTGTACTACTTGGAGCACCAATTCGAACGCAAAACCGGAATTAACACAAGCAAATATGCGAAACAAAAATAACTTTTACCACTTAGCAGGTTCAGTGAAGGGCTTATACTTACGGCAACGGCGTTTCCGCTCAATCTACTCTTCACATCGAGCGCAAACTCCAGCTATCTCGGAGTACGGCCGAAACTTCCCGTCCAACTTCCTAATTGCAAGCGGAAATCAAGCTTAGTTATCTCGCCCCTTTCGATTCAATTATTTAAGGATTCAAATGGTGCGAATCAATCATCGAATGAACTGGATTATTCGATTTTTGGGATTTTACCGTTTCGTTGATTTTAGCGCCGGCGTTGGGCTTCCTGGCGCAGCAGTTCCAGTGCTTGGGCGGGCCACACCGATTGCTCATCTTTTATATGTCCTCGACTCTTCTCTTCTTCTTCTTCTTCTTCTTCTTCTTCAATGTGCTCTTTTTGGGAAATTCGGGGCTCAGACAAGTATCAGACGAAAATGTCTCAGTCCAGGGCGCGGATGATGGCGGGACATGCACATGCACATGCTCGTTAGCCGGCGAAGAATTGGACCATCGGCAATCAGGCAATTCAATTACGGAGCGCCCATTTGCGAAAACGGCCCCTCATCCAGACCTTTTTAAAAATTTCCATGGGTAAACCTCGACATCGCACGCATTTGGTATAGCAGGCAACTTTCGCACTGATGCGCAATAGTAGACTCTAAAAGACTGGAGCTTCTCTAGCTTCCGTGAATCGGGAATGGGCCTCTCCGTGGAACTGCAATCTCCAGTTGAAGATGGTTGGGATTCGATCACGGTTAGCTGCGGGCAGTACTCCACGCTCAGCACTTGGAGCTCCTTTAAGCTTGATAGGTTGGATAGCCTCACAAGCGACTCAGACTTGCGCACTTGCAAGCAATGGAGTTTCTCCAGCTGTCCAAGCACATTGTCAAACTCAAGCTCTCTTAACTGACAGCCAGAGAGCTTTAATTCAGACAAATTGCCCAAGTTGGAGAACAGTGGCCATTCTATTGGTCTCCTCACATCTTCTAAGCTCAAGACTTCTAAACTGGACGGAAGCCGTATCAAAGACTGTGGGTCTGGACAAGTTAATTCAAGTGACCGGAGCTGAGAAAGGGAGCTCAAGTCAGTTGGAGGTAAGTTGGAATCGGAAAGAACCAGCCTCAACATCTGCAATTTATGCAGCCTTCCAAGCCCCTCTAGGTTCGGATGTGGAATTTGTCCCTGTTTAGTTTTGAAAGACTGAAAGTCATAAGCGCAATTACTTATGTCCAGATGAAGTAAATTAATGAGGTTCGAGAGGTCGGCGTCTGCCTGCAACGATGAAGAGGACAACTCTAGCTTTGTTAAACTTGTCGGGAGATCTGGTAGTGTCTGAAGCCTGTCACAATCCGATAAAACAAGTTCTCGGAGATTAGAAAGCCGATTGATTGTCATCGGCAGACTACTAATTCCGGTCCTGGACAAGTGAAGAATCGTCAATTGGGATAGTCCCGCGATTTCCATTGGAATTTCGCCTTTGAGACGTGGACAACCTCTAGCAATCAACTCCTCAAGACTCTCCAGAGTCCATATGTTCTTCGGTAGCTCACTTATTGAAGTGCCACCCAAACACATGAACTTCAACCGTCTAAGATTGCCAATAGAATTGGGTAATTCTGCAATAAGTGTTAGAGATAGATCCATTTTGAGTAGCGATTCTAGTCTTCCGATCGAATCTGGTAATCCACATATGCGAGTGCGAGATAAATCCAAATAGAGGAGCGATTTCAACTCTCCAATGGAATCTGGAAGCTTTCTAAGCTTAGTGCAATTGCGTAGTGTCAGATGCTTCAAACCTAGTAGCTCTCCTATTGAGTGTGGAAGTTCACTAAAATGATCCTGATTTTCCACCTTCAGCATTGACAAGGATTTTAGACCACCAATTGAGGTTGGTATTAGAGGAATGGAAAAATCGTTGACATCGTCAAAAGCATTAGACGAATGATATCTTAGTGTTATACGTTTCTCCTTACGGATTTCCAAGTACTTTAGGCGCCCCAGCTGATCGATAGAGCCATGGATTTCTTCCAATCTACAACAATCATCAAGAACCAATCTTTTCAAATTCACGCACTTTGAGAAGTCAGGTGTCGTCGTTAAGCAATGGCAGCGAGTCAGATATATGACTTTCAGGTTATCACTCACCTGTAAAACAACCCATTATTAAGGAAGACAATGGCATGGTGAAGGTCAAGACAACGTGACAAATGCGTACACACATAAAGGAAAACAAATGAATTATATGAAATTGTACCGTGCATGGTCCCCATCCATTCCAATCTTCAGTAATGTCGGTCTCTGAAAGCTTGAGAACGGCCAAGTTCCTTAGACATAAACCGGTGGCATGTAGGTTTGAAGGGCAATGATGCCAAGAGAGCCATGTTAGATTCAAGAGAAGATTTTTGAAGTCTCCTACAAAGTTTCCCCCATCTAATTCAAGGAACCTTAAACTAGGCAGCCTTGAAATTTCGCCACTCAAAAAATTGTGCGCGTTGGCAAGTCTTGTGAGTTTGAGTGCTACAATGTTTTCTGTTCCCTGATAATTCGAAGCAACAAATACCAACATGAGTGAACCATTTAGAGTAAATACTAAATATCAGAATTGGGCAGCCAATAGTAAACATAAGTGAACCAGCAAAAAAGGGGCACATAGATCTTATCTCATACAAAAGCTATCTATTTTGGAGTGTTGTTCGGTTCTCTGAAATTTTACGAAATCATCAATATCCCGTGTATAAAAATGAGGGGGATCTTTTGGGTGAAAATGAAATCTAAATACACATAACTGCATGTTTAGTTTCCATAAACAAAAAATTTTACTAAGACATACCCGGTTATACTGAACCACATCTAAGGCGACCTTAGGACACCACAACCTGCTACGCTTTCCAGGAACTTCAATGCATTCTTTCCTAACAATCTCTCTTCCAAGATCTCTGAGTTGGTCGTGCATCCATAGTCTATCATCCTCGATGATTTTTATCAACGATAAATGAATAAGGATACAGAGTCCAGTTTTTGGAAAATATTCACAAGCTTTCCACATGTAATATGCAGGGATTCTTTCTTCACCAATGCAGTGACATGCAATGTCAAGAAAAATTTGTCGTTGCTCATACTCCAATTCTTCGTAACTTATCAACAACTTTTTCTGGACATGCTGATCGGGCACTTTCTTCAACTTCTCCAAAGTGTCTTTCCACATTCTCTTGCTTTGTGAATGGAGTAATGAACCTATGACCTCGAGAGCCAACGGTAGTCCTCCAGTAATTCTGACAATTTCACTTGAAATGCTGATGTAATCATGTGGAGGTGAGTCTCTTTCGAAGGAGTGCTTGCTGAATAGTTGAAGAGCATAGTCAAATTGCATTTCCTTCATTTCATAAAAAAAGAAATCTCGATGACCTAGTGGGACGATATTGTCATCTAGGGTGTCGGTTTCGGTAGCAAAGAAATAGGTGTTCCTAGTTGTGATAATAATTCTGCTTCCTGAACCAAACCAACTAGACTCACCAGCTAGTTTCATGAGCTGGTCCCTCTTGTCCATATCATCAAGAACAAGGATGACTTTCTTATGCCTGAATGCACGTTTAATCACTTCCATCCCAACATCAGCATCAATAATTGTAATTTTTGGAAAATGAGTGTCACATAATAATTTTTTTTGCAGACTTAAAATATTGTCTGCACGGATATCTAAAAGAAAGCTGGAACAATGAAACTGGGAAGAAATATGCTTGAAGATGGCCTTAGCAAGAGTTGTTTTCCCAATACCGCCCATACCGTGAATTACAACAAATCGTACGCCGGAAGTGCCTAGGCCTAACAACTTCATAACGGCTTCCATCCGATCATGAATTCCCACCAAGCCATCACGCCAGTTTCTCTGTGTAGACCTCAGCTTTTCGAAAACTTCTTCCAGAACAAGTGCTATAAGTTTATCTTGGCTGCCATATACATAATGCAACCGTCTGAGTTTGAGAAACCACAAACACAATATGTCGCGCAGAAGCATAAATATGTAAAACCAAAAAGTCTAATTGTTAAAACCAAGCGTGGATTATCAGTTTATTTAATATTCGGTCCTACCGAAGTCCAGAAGATTGATCTCAGTCACAGAGAACAATGGTTGGAATTTGATGTGGGGGCAGTTCTGAAGAATTTTTAGATGGTCAAATCAGTGAAGTTCTAAAATGCGATGTGGCCATCAAAACTAGCTCCATGGCCAAGCGGGCGAACCAGACCAATTTTTTTGGTTCGTCTCAGGCTTCTAGTATGGCAAAGGATGAAAATGGGCCAAATTGCACATTAAATGGGGAGAGTATCCTTGGGCAGGGCCAACACTGACAAGGACGTCAATAGTTAAAGTGCAGAGTTTGTGACACCCCGGTCCCAAATCGAATGAGATAAACCTTTTTGAATGATTCGTGGGTAAGGTTGATCCCTAAATGATTACTCTAGAATTCAACTATAATAGGAATTACCACAAGGAAGAACGGCATGAGATGTGATAAACTGCATGCGAAAGTGCAGTCAATGGATCAGTTAAGAGTTCAAAAAAATTATAGACGAACATGGTAACTTGCATATCATTTCAACTTCTATTTGCCTTCAGAATATTTCTTAGATTGAGAGAGAGAGAGAGTGGGGGTTTGATCTACATATTGAGTTTTCATGATTAAGAAACAATGATCTAAATTCGGAATTGAAAGTGCAGAAATTGTCATTAGTTACCCGTGATCTTTTAAGTTCCATCCCTTTATTCCGGCGACCTCTCTTAGGGCCCCCTCCCACTGCTTGGCCACATTTTCACCGGACTGTCTCTCATGCTTGCGTAGGGCCTGACCGTACGATCCAGTTTTGAGCTTAAGATCGGATGCATCCACCTCATAGAAGATGGGCAAGATCACTTTCTTGTCTCTCTTCCTATGCTCCACCATTAACGCGAGCTCGCGGAGGCACCATTTACTGGAAGCGTAATCTTTAGAGAAGATCGGTATGTAGATTTTTGAATTGGAGATTGCTCTCTCAAGCTCGCCTCCGATCTCTTCCCCGACACGGAGCTCTTCATCATCTTTAAAGACGTGTATCCCGGCCCGGATCATGGTCTCATAGAGAGAGTCGGTGATGGTTAAGCGAGTGTCAGGCCCTCTGAAGTTCAAGAAAACCTCATAATCCTTGATCGATGATGACGATTCACCGTTGAGGGAGTGAGAAATTCCTCCGGGACTTTCCATTCCTGTAAACTACGGCTACGGAAGGGATATCGAACTTTTTTGCTTGTTCGAAATTGCAACTCTCCAGTTACTGCGCGCCCGTTGGCAATTTATAAAAGAAACGGTGTTGACTGATTGAGGCAGCTCCCATCCGTTGAATGAGACTTCATTCGATCCAACGGGCCTCATTTCGTCCAACGACCACCTGAGTGCATGTAATAATGCCCTCTCCCTTTTCCTAAAGCCACTTTTTTTCCCCTTTATTAGGTTGTCGTACGATAGAATAGAGCGTGTTGGACAATATTTTTGCCATGGAAAAACAGATTTTCTGATGTGGAATATGAGAGTGTGAGTCATCAAGAGTCGGTTCATGTTTGGAAGGTGAAGACGATCTGATTCTTGCTTTCATATCCCACTAAGTCCAGACCAATCGAGTTCACAAGACGATCATTACTAGAAATTAGGATCAAGTCTTGCTGTTAATAAGTGCGTCATGTAGAAAAAAAAGGGTCTGAAGTTAATCACTCAAAATGCATTGTTTTAAGGTATTTTACCTTGAAACTCAATCTGGTTTGGCATCTTTAAAACTAAATTGCATATTGCTTAATCATGACAGTTCTGGTTCAGAGGCGATCAGATATAAAACATGCCTTGTAGCAAAAGGATTCAATAACCTTGTCAAGTGAAAGCACTTCCTCTAACTCGGAATAACAGCGGCTACCCAAGTCAAAGCATTAAAAGAAGTCATGCCTTTCCACAATCTTCCGAGGTTTGTGGCAGTACCTGATTCAAGTGCTGCCATTTTTGGAGCAGTGTCTAAGACTAATGCTCCATAAATAGCTTCGTTGATGAAATTAGAGAATAAGCCTCAGCTTCACCAATTGCGAGAGAGAGAAAGAGAGAGTGCATGTGTCTGTGTGTGTAATACAAACATTTATTCAAGAGTAATGATTCAAGTTGACGGATAACAGCATCTGCTGATGTTCTCAATACATAAATTTTAGCTATTACATTGTTTCCGCAACTTCGCTCGACATCGAATGAAATTTGATGGGGACGTGGCCCTTCGTTCCATCCTCCAAGACCGTGGAGTTTATCGAGCTCTGTAGTGGAGACGAAGTTGTGATTCCTCTCTTAATTATCTTCAAATTCACACATCATCTTGTCTTGTGGTTTAAGATGTCAAGATAAATTAGTGGGCAGTTGATGAATGAGTCAAAAGTATTGGGTAGTCTTGAGCCTTTCTCACCCTAAAAGCTAGATCAAAGGGCGAGATTTTCTCCCTTGCTTGTAAACTGACTACTAGCCCCTTCCACAACCGACGTAAGATAACCCTAAAAATCTCCCCCTCACACATCGGCCCTAGGGACGGAGCAAGAACAACCTGTATCTCTCCCGTGTGGCTGCTAGATCTAGATTTGTTGGTAACATGGCCTCTGATACTAATGCCCGATGTTTGAGGAGGAGATTGTTGGAGTTATCCCACATTGATTGTAAAAGAAGCTGATGGTTGATTTATAAGTATGAAGAAAAGTCTTACCTTTTAAGCTAACTTTTGAGATGAGAGAGGCTCAAGATCACCAAACAAAAAAATCACCAATAGGGTTTTCATGGGTAATAATTTCGTGCAAGAATGCTCGTTTTCACAGGGGTTTCTCTCTTCTATTCTTCTCTCTGTCATACTGCTTTTACCTTTACTTTTACAGCTGCCGCCTATGTCTGCTCTTTTTTACTCACATCATAGCAGAGCAGTACATGGGAAATTTCTGTGAAGCACAATTCTATTCTTCTCTCTTTCATACTGCTTTTACCCTTACTTGTACGGCTGCCTATGCCCGCTCTTTTTGACTTGCATCTTAGCGCAGCAATACATGGGAAATTTCTGTGAAGCACAAGGTGGACAATCCTATCGACTCTAGCCAAAATTAAAGCACTTTCAGCATTTTTTTTATTCATGCCGGAGATAAATTAGGAGATCCGAAATATTAGAACGAAAATTCTCTTTTATAAAATTGACGGCGCATTTGTATATTTCCGCTATTTTTCGACCCAACGCGCGGAAAATATCTTAGAAAATATGGAAAATGTCCTTTTGGGAGTTGTAATCGGACACGCCCTCAGTTTTTTTGCGGGTCGTTATTGAGTAGTTGAAGGAGTTTTGATCTTACGACTTGCAATTGAGATGGCAGCATCAGGATCTAAATGTGTAATGTGCATTGCATTATCTACTACACCTTTTGGCATGACCATTCAATCAATAAGAGAGCTCGTCACCACATCATTGATTAGTGTTGCTAAATGCCCGACAATTGTCATTAAAGCTGTATGAAATACTCAATAATTAATAGCAATGTGATAGTGATACCTAAATTCTTGCCTAAGGTGCATTAGCATAATTGAACTTTAAATAGATTTACTTAGGTCTAACAACTTTGTTATGACGTGCAATGGATTTCTGAATTCTCAATTGATTCAATTAGATTGCTAAACTTTTGTTTAGTATGTGTAATTGATCATCTCTGGAACTTCTGTTTGTCCTCTTGAAATTTTTTTAGGATGTTTTATACGTCATACGCCCATTGATTATGCTAAAGGAAATTGCTAAAATGGACATCAATCTACAAAAGCCGTTAAATAAACAAAATATTCAAATAGATATCGTATGTGTAATATTCATTTGAAATTATAGAGAAATGATACACATTCGCTTTTTATGTGTGATTTATTTAAAACAAATGAATATGGTCAGTCCCTTTAATCATTCTAATTCATTATGTCAGCTAGTGAGAAGTACAAAGGGTTTTGCTGTTCATTTCAAAGCATAGCAAACAAATCCATTCTCCATTTCACATGATCTCCATTGAATCAGGAAGAAGGCACATTGTTCTGTCGAGTGAGAGGTTTATCCTATTCTGAAACCCTTTTCAAACTTAAGATGATACTGAATATCTTAAAATAATTTAGGAACCCCGTTAAGTTATAAACAATCGAAAGTTCATGAGCGAGAATGCTCCTCGGGCAAAGCGTAGGGCCTACTTGATAAATTGAGAGGCCAGGCATATCATTACATGTTAACCGACACTGTTCAATTTTAGGACAAAAATTTGAAAACTAGTAGTCTCATTGCCCCTAGATTTGATGATAGATTAGTTGACGGAATCTATATATTGGATTTGCTATTTCCAAAGAAACTCAACAATTAAATCGAAATTCCTATTGGATGATAAGTAGATTTTGTCTTTTTGCAATGAACTACAGCCATCTGTCATTGTAAACTCTCTTAGATACACTAGATAACGGCTCGAGTCTAGGGACGACGCGTGCTATGCATGAACGACATGAGGTGTTGACCCCATTCGAACTTTTCATTTTGGAATAAAATTAAAAATCCATTGATTAATCTTGTTTCCAGAAAAAAAAAAATCCATTGGGCGGCCGGAGAGTGACAAGTTATCATATCAAAATGAAAGAGTGAATTTATCATAATTTAGTTTAACGGATGTTCTTCGTCACATTGTTTTGATATTAGGATGTTTATATTGGGAGTCACTTCGCATTCCTGGAGAAGTCGGCGAAGTTGTTAATTACCTTACTAAAATCTGTTTTTTTTTTTCATTCAAAATCAGAGGCACTAATGTATATCTGGAGATCCATGGAACACTTGCAAACCCAATGAGCCAGTTAAATACATGATTAAACTGTTTATGAATCATATAAGAACATGATTTATTTGGTGAAGTATAGGAAAGTAAATTAGGAAGTTTCAACTGCACTCTTTTGGTGCTTTCATTGCGTTGATATAAAAAAAATGATCAACCCTTGGTTGATATGAACAAAATAATCGGTGAGTTATGAGACTCATTGATAGTGCAAGATGTCAATATAAGAAGATGATGAGGTTAGTGCAGAGTCTTCACCAATCAACAACTTGGAAGAAATTGATTGCCAAAGTCATCATCAATAAACAATCGCAGATTTTGGCTAAGTATTGAGACAGTGTCGTTAATGAACAAAATAGAGGTTTGCCAACACATTAGTTGGAGATGAAGACATGAATTTATAACTTCTTATGGATAATCATATATGGAATCTCGAAAAGCATAATTGTTTATCAAAAACGGTAAATGGTGCAAAGAAGTTACTTGTGGATTCCAATTCATAAGGGCAAAAGGACACTATAAGTGCCATAACTTGTGTACGGCGCTCACTTTGGTGCCATAACTTTTTTTCGGATCACTTTGGTGCCAAGTCGGAGGAAAAACGATCACTTAAGTGTCATAACTTTTTTTTGGATCACTTTAGTGCTAAAATTTTTGAAAAACAATCACTTAAGTGCTAAAATTTTTGAAAAACGAACAATTAAGTGCTAAAATTTTTGAAAAACGATCACTTAAGTGCCAATCTCCGGCGAGACTCCGGCGAGACTCCGGCGAGCCACGTCAGCTTCAGAAATTAATAAAAAAAATGCCACGTCAGATTTCCGGCGAAAAATTGTGTACGGCACCGGAGTTGGCACTTAAGTGATCGTTTTTCAAAAATTTTAGCACTTAAGTGATCGTTTTTCAAAAATTTTAGCACTAAAGTGATCCAAAAAAAAGTTATGGCACTTGTAGTGTTCTTTTGCCAATTCATAAGTGTTTGTAAATAACTACGGCTAGTGAGATATAAAAACCCACGTTGTAATTGTTATGGACCCCAATCAATCAATCACAGAACATTTGTATTAACTTTCATCTTTAAGCAGCCTGCAAATTTACCTTTCATGTACCTTCAAATTCTAGTACTCTTTATCTTCCTCGCAAACTTTAATTTTCATACCTACATTTCAATTCCTTTACTTTTATAGTTAATTACATTCTTGTCCAAAATCAACACACACAAAAAAAACCCCCATTTTTCCTTGAAATTCATCAATTTCATCCCTTTCTTGAGACTCACTTTTTGATGAAACACATTGAAAGTGGTCCAAGTGCTCTCATCTTTTACATAGGATTCGACCACTGATTCTATTTAAGTAAAAAATACTTATTGATTGCAAGATTGAAGTAAGTCCAATCGACGGGGC